ATATTTAATTTATATCCTTAAAAATTCATAATTTGTTTTAATATTAAAACGTGAAAAGACAAAACTTCCTCCAACCAAACGCGCCCATAGTTTCACCAACCTTGATTGAAGAATTCCAAAAACAGGAAGTCAAAGGCAACGACACGGAGCCAAAATGATGCATTTGGAAGGGCCTTGCGTTCTAAAATGGTATATTCCCATAAAGTAAAAACAGTAAAAGTCTACTTTTTGTAAATTTTAACATTTTACCTTATATTATAACACTTTTACTCTTTCACTTATTAAAATTAAAAAAATAACTCTCGCTTATAATATTTTGTTAGTTTTATTAATTAACTATTAACTCTATTAACTCTATTAACTAACTATTAACTAACTGTTAGCTGATAAAAACTTATTTTCAATTAATAAAGTTAACAATCATTTAACAAAATTATTCTGTTAATTGACTGTTAACTTTATTAGTTGGCTATTTGCTAATTGTTAAATGGTTAAAACTTACTTTCAACTAATAGAGTTAATAATTAGTTAACAAAATTAATAAAATATTATAAAATGATAGTTATTTTTTTCAATTCTAATAGATGAAGGGTTAGAAGTGTCATAGTATAAGATAAATGGTAGTGTTATAGTATAAGATAAATGGTTAAAACCTATAAATCTAATAAAATAAAGAGTTAAAAGTAGATTTTTACTAAGTAAAAACAAAGAAAAAAAAAGAGAGGCCATCTATTAGGTATGAAAACAGACCCCTCCCACTCCCTACCAATGGCAGATATAAGCATCTTAACAGAAATTTTTGGTGGGGACAAAAAATGCCCTTCATTTCATTTTCATACTCACAAGGAATAACACAGAAGGTATATAGATTTCTTGTCAAATATTAAATCTGTAAAATTTAATTTTTTTAATAAATAAAAAATATAAAAATTCAAAATAATTCAAACAAATAAATACATTATATATACAATTAATTAATGTCTAATTCTAACAAACACATATTGCTACACTTATGGCAATTGACTTGTTAAATTAGGTTTAGGGAAGATTAGGAAAAGGAATTGAGTTGAGTAATTTAGATTGGCTTGGCCAAATCAATTGGATTGGGTAAATAAAAAATAATTAATAATATATATAACAAGAAAAAGGAGGTATCAACTTATATTATAAAAAATTAAGTAAAAATATCTTAAAATTTTATTATTTTAATAAAATATCATAACAAAATTAAAATATCTTAATTTTTAAATGAAGAATGGGTTTGTTTTAACCTTTATTTATAGTATTTTATGAAAACAATATAATTTTAAATATTTTATCACTTAATTTTTATTATAC